TATATACAGTATATGAAGAGTTCAGATGCAAAAGCCTCTAAGTGCCATTTGAAATTTTCTTCTGAAATTTGCATTTTCATCAGGCTCCTATGTGTAGGTTAATTTCACTTTAATGGCAATGAATAGGTTGTTTTCATTGCTATTAAAGTAAAATAACTGAACATAAACATAGGAGCTTGAGAAAAACGCTAATTTTAGATGAAAATTTCAGATGGCACTTGGAGGCTTTTGCATCTGAACTCTTCATATATATATATATTTATATTTATAAGGTACAGTAACTCACTGATACAATCAGTGCTTTTGAGAAAGGGCTAGCCACTGGATTTGCCAGTTTTCCAGGAGGCATCAGCTCTCAAGTTTTGTTTGAGGTAAGAAAAAAACAACTATATCCACAAACAAAAGAGTGCTGCAGGAATGAGTCTTAAAACCTGTAAATAAGTTTGTATTATTGCCATTATCCTGGAGTCAATGGATTTTATGAATGTTTTTGTTTTTTGTTAAATACCTGAAATAAGGGCATTGTCCATACTAATACGTTTTCGTTTGAAAGCACATCTCTTTCTCTACGTTTTGGCCTTCCACACTGAGACTGCATTTTTGTTGACAAAAACAAAGCTTTTTGACAACGATCTCCAAAGTAAATAGAAAACGTAGTTTTTGCATTGTGGCGTGGACTGTGAAAATGGTGGTATTAGAAAGCGATGAAGTCTCGGTTAGCCTAACAGTCTGAATACTTTCCGTACCCACTGTATATATATATATATATTATAAATATAAATATATTTATATTTATAAGGTACAGTAACTCACTGATACAATCAGTGCTTTTGAGAAAGGGCTAGCCACTGGATTTGCCAGTTTTCCAGGAGGCATCAGCTCTCAAGTTTTGTTTGAGGTAAGAAAAAAACAACTATATCCACAAACAAAAGAGTGCTGCAGGAATGAGTCTTAAAACCTGTAAATAAGTTTGTATTATTGCCATTATCCTGGAGTCAATGGATTTTATGAATGTTTTTGTTTTTTGTTAAATACCTGAAATAAGGGCATTGTCCATACTAATACGTTTTCGTTTGAAAGCACATCTCTTTCTCTACGTTTTGGCCTTCCACACTGAGACTGCATTTTTGTTGACAAAAACAAAGCTTTTTGACAACGATCTCCAAAGTAAATAGAAAACGTAGTTTTTGCATTGTGGCGTGGACTGTGAAAATGGTGGTATTAGAAAGCGATGATGCATGTTTCGTCATATAACGCATATTGTTCCGACAGATATCTATGTTTGTGCCAGTATTGTGCCTATTATGTGCTATTTACTTTCACACTGTTGCTAAAGTCCTGCAAAGATGACAGAAAATGTATTGCAATTGCTGTCCTGTGGCAAAACATGAGGGCAGTTGCATTTTAGAACAAACATATAATAAACGCATCAGTGAATGGTGAGATATTTTATTATACTACAGAGATTGGTGAGGAAATTAAATGTTATCCCGTCCAAACAGGAAAACTCATTTATTCAATAGTCCACTGTTATAGCCTCATTGTGTTTATACTTGCACTCTTGTAAACTTTTCTAATTCAAACTTGTAGATTTTAAATACAGAGTTCTGGCATGAAACTCTAGATGGCGCAGTCTGATAGGTCTAACTCAATCTGACCTAATGACATCATTATCACATGGCACAGCTGATTGGTTCTCTCCTGTATCGGTAGCCAATGAGCTCGTTGCTCAACATTCAAATATATGACTAGTGATTGCCGTAGCAGTTGCAGCTTGCTTCAGAAACCCTCCACCTTCCCCAGCTCCACCTGTATAGATCTGCTACAAGGTGATTCATGTAAGCTATATGGGGGTTATTTCATGTATGTTATACTTGCAGCAGCAATATTTCTTACATGCGCACAGCAGCATGTTGTGGATGTATTGGCAGTAGCAAGTCTCGGTACTTGCTCTGCCGCAGCAGCGTAGCAGATCTATTCTGCCAAGACCAAATACATTAACATTGTCATGTACATTACCATGCCAGTCCCTGTCATGACAGAAATATAGAATTAAAGAGTTGTCAGAACCATATGCAACAATGGTGTTGTTGTTCATAGCCTAACTTTAGCTATTTACTTCTGCCGATTATATTTATTATATTATCAAACCTCATAAATGTTGTGTTCATGTGTGAAGATTATCTTGACAATCAACACATGTAATCATAAACTTTTGTTGGTCAATTCTTTTCTGCAATAATCCAAATGCTAAAGGCTTTTGGTCGAACGAACCAAGGTGATGCTAACTTCCTTATAAAAATACGTCATCACTACAGCACTCTATTGTATATTGAGCTTTGTTTTCTGAGTTGTGTCTGTTAAATAACCAGTAATTACACTTATATATCAAGAGACATTTTAATTACAAAGTCTACACACATACTAATTTCTTCTGTTTTCTGATATTTCAAATTAACATGCCCCAAAATGATACATACTGTGCAAACACAACAAACTGCGATTGGTTTTTCTTTATGTCAGTCTGATTGCTCTTCCTGTTTAAGTGGACAGGGAAGAATAAATTGAAAAATTGACTTTATGCCGATAATCAATCTACATGTATATGTAAGCAGTACACTAAATTCGCACTGTTATTAGGTCTGCACGATAATGTTTAAACGATTAATCACAATTATTTCGTATCAACCATGATTATTGTCATTATATTTATTTATTTTTTAAATATATTTTATCACAATTATTGCACTTTCACATAAGCATAAATCAAGAGAACCGCATGCAACTTGCATGGTTTGCTCACAGATTTAGTTGCAGCAAAATGCACAAGAAAACAGACTGACTGTATTACACTTTTATTTGAGCAGAAAACTTACATTTTGCTAGGGTTTTACAGCTCAGCTCTGCAATGCAGAGAGAGTACACATGGTTGCCAGGTCGGAAGATTAAGTAAACCACAGTGCAGAAACTGTATCGATTTAAGCAAAAGGTTGTGATTGGGGAATTTAAACCTTTGACATCTGGCAACCTCCACTATAAAAGCTTGTGGAGGCTTGGTACCAACGCAAGATAACACAAATGCCAAATTAAATTCAGGATAAATAACCAGTGGCCAAAAATTGCTGATGATCAAGCGAAGCAGAAATCAATACAATTAATCTGAACAGAACCAACACTGAACTGACTTGAGCTAAATAATTACTCTATTCTTTTTTATGACTGCTTTACAGCATAATCTGAACTGTCTCCATTAGTCTTCGATTTTCCTGTTTACCTCTGTGAAGCTGCTTTGACATAATCTGTACTGTGAAGCGCTGTAATACAGGTGACGTGACTTGACTTGCATGTCTGAAAATGTGATATTCATAAATCAGGAAAAACAAAAACCCAAAAGAACTACTGTTCCACCAAAACTCTGAAATGTGAGTGATGGGAGACAAGTCGTCATGTTGAGGAACATTGACACGGATTACATCAATTATACTCTCCCAGTTCAGCATCTGGGAGAAACAATCAAGGTACATGATACTAAAGCACTAGACATTCAATAGAAACATCTGAGTCATTCACTTTTGTATTGAGTTTAGAAATTAATGTGAATCAATTTTACAGAAGAAGAAAAAATCTGAAAGAAGACAAGAATAGAAAACAAGAGCAAACAGTGGGACACTGTGTAATGACTATTGGCTAATGAGCTGAATGTGTTGAAAGCTACAGATGTTCTTCTGTCTGCATAAAAACTTTAACAACACGCATTTAAAAACACCAAATTAAAGGAGAAAAACACCTTGAAATGGAAAGGAAAAAAAGTATTTTTAATGACTGTAGCGAATAAATGATAACTGGCTGAAAGGCTAATGAACAGTGAAAAGACATAAAATCATGTTATTACGTTTAGACCTTATTATATTCAAATTTACAAAATGAACAAAGGCAAATAAGTTATAAACAAAAAAAGAACCCCTTGTGAAAAGAAGTACATTTTAGTATACTTTAAAAAGAGTACTCAAATAATATACTTTTGATTTAAAAGAATATACTTAAGTGTGAACTTAATGTAATGTTTTCAGAAACTTAAGACATTTTAATTGCAATTGAATGAAAATATATTATAGTTAGAATTTATAATAAGTGCAGTTATCTGAACTTTTTTTGACCAAATTAAGTAGGACTTGAGCACATGTTTGTAAGTCATTTTATAATTACTTTTAAAATATGATTAAAGTGTATTGCCTAACATACTGATAAGCATAAGGCAAACTAAAAATACTTTAATGCCATTTCTATTATGTCATGCATTTAAATATATTTGTACTGTAATTAACACTTGGTAATGATGAAGTTGCAATTTAGAACATTTAATATATATATATATATTAACTTTAAATGTAATATTGAATAGCACTCTACAGTATTTATTAATTTAGTAAGTACTTAAAAAACTTTAAAATAAGTGTACATCTTTAAAGCACAATAAAAGATTATTAAAACAAAGTGATTTAAAGTGCTCTTTAAAGTAAAAATTTTTATTTTAATTTACTGCAGAATGCACTTTTTAAAGTGGCCTTTTATTTCATTAATATTATGTTATATGAAATTAGTTTTTTTAAATATACATTTAAGATTCAAAGTACACATTCAGTACAATTAAGCACATTTATTTTTCACATAGAACATCATGTCACGAGTAAATGTATTTCCTATTTGCAAGTATGACATTTGGTCTAAAGTCCATTATAAATTAAACCACAAATAGCTGCTGTTTTTCACGGACTACAACCTTGCGGTACACACTACCGTAGCTGTCAGCTCTGATTGACTGGATGATTTGTGGCCAGTGTGCATGTGTCAGGCCTCCAGAGCTCCGGTAATGATCAGGTCTGCTGGACAGTCTGAGAACGCAGCTGTGGCCGTGATATTAACCTCAACCGGCTGAGCTCTCAACGCACAGATGATATAACGCCTGGCCAGCTGCAGAGATTCAAACATACAGACTAAAAACACTCACACTTCACTGCACATACACAACAACATCCATCAGGTTGCCATAACTCTCCAGAATAAGCTGGATGGAAAGTGGGAACCAGGATGAATACTGTCCATTCAGACCACAGGCATGTCTGGTATTCCTAAAATGCCTTCTCAAATACAGGTGCTGTCAGGAGTGGATCGGGGGAAAAGAAGATAAGCAAACAGAATGAGAGAAATGAAGGGATGGAGAGAAGGTTTGCAGGAGAAGGAAAGATGGAGTGGGGATGAAAGCAAAGGAGGGAAAGGCAAAAAAGTGAGGGTATACAAAAAAGATGGAAAAAATAACGTCCTGTTTTTCTTTTTCAAAAACATGGTCAGGGAACGGAGGTTCTTAACCTCTAGAAACCTCCTGGTCAAACTAAGTAATACATGAGCATTTTTTTTTCTTTTCTTTTAAAACCCTGTTTTTTTTTCTAGTAACGAGCATTAAATTAATATCAAAATTAAACAGATAACATTAATTAACAAATACAAACTGGCTGAATGCGTCTACTTAGATAAGCCAGTTATTTTTTGTCTTATAATTAAACGGTTAACAGGGTTGAATGGTTAGCTTGATGGATGAAGTCAACACTACCATATGTGTAGACATTTTTTCACTGCAATGGTGGAAATTTATGCAAAAACAG